ACACACACGTCCGTCCGCCTTGGCACAATCGTGCACCTCTATAGGTAGTAGAAGGCTGAACCACTTGGTCACGGGCGCGCAACACGCACGCCTATATTCGACGCGACTCCGACACGATCCGATCTTTTCAATTTTCCGATTGTAAATTAGCGGCTTAAATGGTTCGTAAAAACGTCGTCGGGGGCACAGCAACAGAATGGACGGGGCCGGAAACATGGGTATAGGCATCAAGATGGAAAGTGCACTCGGCCATGTTCGTCAGCCATTGAGGTACACATCACAAGACCCGTTGTGTGCACACCCTTCGATCCGTTTATACGTTGCACTACTGATGACACATACTTATTTTTGATTTCAGAATTTTATTGAACTAAGGAACGAAGGAAATAACAGCGAAAACAAGTGGGGAAATGAAATGGAAATGATAGAAGAGACAGGACACGATGTTGAATTTACGAGACAATCCCAAGAACGTAGTATCAGTGTGCCGGTAATTAGAAGCTCGCGTGAAACCGACCCGTAGAAAAAAAAAGAACGGCCGGCCCGTAAATGATTTGTACAATGAACTTGCCCCGTGTTTCTGTTCCAGCGAGAAACACATTCCTACCGCACACGAAGGAGGGACGGACGCGGAACGATCTTGGTCGATACACACGAAGATATGTGCTCTGTATTACCGACGAACCCTCGCAGCGACGATAGCGGTAAGCGTGGAGGCACATAAGGAGGAGGGGTAAACGAGCCGAGCCACGATTTCGTCGTCGTAAACGTCAACGTTACGGTTACAGCGTTGTTCCTAGCTGGTTTATATTGAACGAGGTTGCTCCCCGAGGTACGTAACACCTACTGGCAACCGTCGTATCGTCGAGTAGCACCATACTCGTTTCCAACTCGAGAAGGAGAGAGAGATAGAGGGAGAGGAGTGGCGGGAGAAACCACGTGGCTTTTACGCGGGAACCTCTCGCCGCTTCAGCACCAAGAGTTCAAGGTTTGTTAGCTCTATCCTTTCGTACGCAACGCCGGGACTAGAACCGAGCCGCCCAATAAAGATCGCCGTAACGATGCGATATCGACGCGCGTAAATCAAAAAAAGGAACAGGACAACACGCCCCGATCGTTAACATTCCGACACGTACTTCACATTTTTTTCTAAATCAATTTCGGGAAGTTCATCGCCGGGACACACAGAAAGTGTTGATCAGCGAATTACCTTAAAGTAACGAAATACTGGGTGGTTAGTTAACTAATTTTTCACGAAAAAATTTTCTTTCATTAAACTCACATGACAAATTAATATACCACCGGTCAGACGCTTATGCTGTTAGAATAAGTAATGAATTTTTTCGGCAGAGTCTTTTTTTACTAACTCAATGCACATATACTTTAGGAGGTGTCCCATTTCTCATTCAACAAGAATTAGCATTCTAAGGAAAGCCTCAGGGAAACGAGGCACTTTCACAGGGATAAATGAACCGCGGGGTGTGCAGATAGTATTCGAAGCTCCGTCTTCACGCCCTCTAATTACCCCATAGACGCAGAGCGGACCCTTCAATGAGGGCCATAAATTTCGCTCGCGTTTGAAAACAGCCCCCGAAAGTGATACTCGTGGGCCACAGAAAAGGCTTTTGTTGCGTCCCGCTATGTGTCTTGAAAATTGCCACCGCTGTTACAGAAACGCGTTCGATAAAACTTTTTTAAACAACCGACCGACCATTCAATCATCCGTGCGACGACCGTTTCTACAAGGCGCGCTCGGTTGTTGCTCGTCGATGTTATCTAAATAAATGCCTGTCTGTTCGAATAAAATCGTCGCCGCGTATCTATAACGATTCATTATGCCCCTCGATAGCATTATATTACTTCATTACCGCAACATTAACCGGCAAGACATTTACAACTGAAAACGGTGGCGATACCGACGCTCTCTACGGCCATTATAAATCACAATGAGTTTCAACCGACTGTGCTCCCTTTGATGTTTATCACGGCAATGATACAAATGCATTCCACGTAATCAAGTTTCTTCGACGATCGGCTCGCGTCGTACGCACGCGTATTCGGCCAGTTAATGTGTCCCGAGATCGTGTTCCCCCCGCAGCACCAGATCCCCGCAATAAAACCGAGTTAATGATAGCGTGTCTATCGAACCCGTTGATTTGTGCTATTTGGGCGGCATAATCGCTCGCGCAATCACTTATTGCACACTTAGGATAGACGTTTACGCAAATACCGGCGCAGGTTTAGTAAATCATGCTACAGGCACACAGCTTCGCGTGACGTTCTGCGGGGCGTGTAAGCGTTTGTATTAGTCCCGACGACAAACAAACAAAAATTGACATACCGACAGGAACAACGAGCTTGATAATTGCATTGAAATGAAACCAGTGGTAAAAGGTCACGATGAAAATGGAATGCAAAATTTGGAGTTGCTTTCAGGTAATTCATACTCGAAAGCAACAGTGAAAAAAGTATCGATTGGGTTATTGCTTGAACAAATAAAAGCATGGCTCACCAAGGTACGAGAACGGTGAGCTTGTGCGTTTTTACGGTGTATGCGACACACAACGCTAGGTAACACTGTCTCGACGAATTCGTTCTCCGCGTGCGTGACGATAAAGTCAAATTATTTATTATAGGCGGCCGCGGCCTACGAATGCTCCGTGGACACGTTGATGGCTCTATATTTACTCCCGGGAGACTTTAATCTACGACGAAATAATCCATAATCCTGTATCGATAAATTTTCCTACGCGCCTGTGTATCGCTTGTACCAGCAACATTGAAGAGCACTTGCCGGCGCGAGCGCGAAATGAGTCAACGACTTTCGATCCGCGAAGCGCATAGAACCTGTTCCGCAAGAGTGTAAGCCGATCAATTGCCTTTTCCCGTTCCCAAACGATTCCTCCTACGATCGCTGCATTCCGCCGCATCGTCGACAGGACTCGTGGATTCATAATCGGACGATCATATCTTCCGTTTCTCTCGCATACCCCGAGTGGAAATGCAGAATCACTTTCCTTGCCGATCCACACCAGGCCTCCGATTCATTAACCGTGTATCTGTTTCAGTTACTGAATGGAAGACATCAAGAGACTATAGGTTCGATTCAAGGATACCGATTTTTTTTTTCGACTGACTGGCGGACCGAAACAGAATCGAACACGCCAGTATAAGAAGAAAGCAGAACGGGCTTACTAATCGCCACGCCTTCCGAACTATTAACATTCTCTCTCGCCGCGGGAGGATTCGGTATTTATAGAAGACGTAAAGAATAAAGGTTCGTTCGAATAAAATCCCGTTTCTTGTCTTTGAATAAGCACGCGCCTACGTCACGAGAAGCTCATAAAATAATCCCTACACCTTTGTATGCATAAAGAGAATGGATCCTCGCGTGGTCGAACAGGAAGAAAAAATATAGGCGGACCTTAAACCGGACCGTAGGGCGCGAGGAGGAGGCTAGGGAAGGACGCGGCCCAAGCAGATAGAGTGCAACGGAACAAACGGGGGAAAAAAGGATCGAGCAACGAAAGACGAACAGTCTTCAAGACACAGCTGAGTCGCCGGAGAAGAGGCGGCGACCAAGAAGCGAGATAGAGCTCGGGAGAGGCCTCGGTGATTATATGTCTGCCTACGACAAAGCGAGAGGCTACTGGGGTACCTCTTTGCCGGGAGGGACAAAGACATCGCTAGAAACAGCTGACTACCGGAATTCGGGGTTCCGGAGGGGTGAGTACGACGAGGAAGGCACTTGAACCCCAATTGGACGAGGGCTTCCCCATTATACTCGACGTACCCAACGATTTTACACGCACTTGACTCCATTCTACCTATCCACCAGACGTAACTTTATCGCGTTGCATGACCGATTTTCCACGATCCGACGATCGCTACCTATGGGACTAAACTTTGACTATACATACATGACACGCTGGCACAAACATTAGACAATCCACTCGATTGTCAATGAAGTATAATGCTTTCCATTTTCAGCTGTGAGAATCATGTTCGTAGAACATGAATATTTAATGAATGATCAACCTTCAGCTACCATCTCTACATTAGAATTCTCTTCAAATACACGTCTAAAGATCAGCATTGATCGAGTTAGAAATACAACATCTATGAAACGAGTAAGTAAGCTCTCTCTCTCTCTCTTGACCGGATTATTTTTCTTGACTTTAAAATAGAAGCTATGTTCTTCTGTTAACGGTGGTTGGAAGTACGGTACACTCACAAGAGACAAACAGAATCAGGCAGGCATATTAATGATAACTCGAGGTATCACTTTGCACGTCGCTTTCACACGGGTGGATTAGTTATTACCAACCCCCGGCAGGCAGGCAGGCAGGCGGGCAGTTGGGAAAAGCACGCAGTGCATTCATTCGCGCAGAAGGCAACGGAATATTTTTAGTCCGCTGAAGACTATAAATCCGTTATCTCGGCTACGCTTCGTGACGGATACATCGTATTTCAATCGACGCACAAATAGACCCGGCGAAAAAATTTCTACAACCAGTATCGACGTAACGCGACTACGTCAACCTTACATTCGACGATTGTATACAACCGTGTCTTCTATTTTTCAGAGTGCGAGCACCGGTCGGAATGATTTGTTTGGATTCGTTCGCAAACACACGTAGACCTGTACAGTCACGGTATTAAATCCTCTCCCGCGTACCGCAAAAAAAGAGAACATAATTGAAACCACATAAGTATGTAGCAGAAGAAGAATTACTTTCGATCGTGTATCGTTCGCATTATTAGAACACTGGCCGTGAAACCGTAGAACACGATTTACCCTGGCCGTTGACGACCCGGGTAAACTCGATGCACCACGCCTTTCTCGACCACGTGGCTTATACTACCGTGGGCTCTCCCCTAAGCTCTCGTGTCGCTTCTATATTTCATCACGGCTGTTATGATAATCGTCGGGTAACAGAGAGACAGAGACAGACACTAACCCATCCAAAGATAGAATGATCTTATGAATGTAAACTCACCTGCTATAGCCATCCAGGGGTAGAAGGTATGGTTGCCGGTGGGTTGCTGATGTAGTTGCGTGGCAACCGGTTGGCTCGCGGACGAGTTCAAACTGCAGGTGTTCCAGGACGACGTGAGGGACCTCGAGGAACTGTTGTTACCAGGACTCGATGCCGGGTCGCCGCCTACGAGACCACCGTAGCTACCAACCCTCGTGCCTTCTGGAGTACACGCGGACGGACGTACGACCGAATTGCTCTGACTATTAGCCGCGGAGGTTGCTGACTGCCAAACGTCCTTGACGGCCGCGGCTGCCATCACTGCCGCGTAACCGTTTTGATGGGCTGCTGCCTGATCCTGTTGTTTGCAATCCTTAGTCGCTGTGGTCGAATAGGAGGAGGTGGTGTGTCCGGTTGCCTCGGGTGTCGTCGAATATAGTTTGCAGGCCGTCGCGACGCTCGCATCGTATGGCGAGTCTTGGGGTGGCCTCGTATTGGTACCACCGCCCGGATGTATCCCCAACGATGACGATGTGTGATGATGATGCTGCGTGGACGCGTAAGGTGACATCCCTAAGCCGAGGGGGAAACTTCGATAGGCTGCCGCTGTGGCCGGATCATGATGCTGGCTGGCGGCTCCTGTTTGATGGTGGTGACTTCCGTAGAAGCCACCCGCAGTCTGCTCAAAGTACGAGTTCATTATCCCGGGTATTTTGAATCACTTGCACTTAAACACCGGCACTCGAGAAGAACCAATAGGGTTTACAGAGGAACGCAACCACCTCCGGAGAGAACTGTCCGTTGCTTCGATTAAATATCGTCGTACACACGCGGCTAGTCGACCGATACTAGTCCGTGCTCCGACCCCGACTTATTTCGGGTAGTGTCCGTTCACCGATCTGATCGTTCCACGGCTGGCGAATGCCGTTCCGTGTTCAGCTGATTCGCGCCAAAAGGCAAATAGGTAAGCGCGTCGTATTGCGAACCGATACTCTGGTTGACGCGGGAGGCGACAGATGACAGCGTTGACGAGGGACGAGCAAACGGGCATTAAACCGCTTTTAAGAGGTCATAAAAGTCATCGATAGGTAGGTAGGTATAGACGGCCGGCTTGCACCCACAGTGTCAATGTCAGTAGGCCGTAGGATTGTAATTCAGAATGGGACTCATGGCAGCGGCAGGGGTTGACTTTTATGGGTTTGTTATGGATACCGCTACCGACCAGAGTATAAACCGGTGGTCTAGGTGGTGGAAAACAGGCGATGATCGTTAAACCGTTACGACGCAATAAACCGGGGTAATAAGACGGGCTATAAAACTGCCTGTGTGGGTCTCTCTACCGTTTAGAAAATTGTATGTATGATTTCTGATCGGTCAGGCCCGGGGCCCCGTATCGGATAGTCAGTCGATCTTTTAAAGGGGCCAAAGTAACCGTTGACTCTGTCCGCACTGCACACTAGCACTAGTCGAAATGTGACTTCGCTGATGACTGTGAGAGGTTCAGTACGAAGCGACGTACGAAGGGGATCGTAACGAACCACGGTATGCCAGTGCGGTGGTCCACGGCACACTACCGCTTTTCTCGCGCCCCGTGTACCGCCACTCTGTACCGTCCTCTGTCTCTTGCTCACTCGTTCGCCTCGTCTTGTCTCTCTCTTTCACCATCGGCCTCTCCTGCTTCCACCAGCAACTCTTCTCTCTCCCTCTGTCTCTCTCTCTCTCCCACCAGCTCTCGTTTCTCCTCTTTCTCTTTTCCTCTATCGGTCTCCCTCTCTTCCTTCTGACCGCTCCTTCTCGCTCACGCGCGCACACTCTTCCACGGTGTACTACGTTCCAACGAGAAGCGCGCACCGCTGCTTTTCCTCCTTGTCTTTCATGCAACGTCCCCCTCTCCAATACGATAACCGACTTCTCTCGCTTGCTCCGTTGTCGCTGGTCTCCCCCTCCCCCGCACACAACGCCCCCTCCACGCTTGCTCTCTCACCCTCTCGTTCCGTCTCGCTCCACCTCTCGCCGGCGTGTCGTGTTTTGTCTCCCTTCTTCCACGATTCTCGTACACTCTCTTTCTTTCTCTCGATTAGACCTCCACAGCGACCCCCGACGAGCGTTCAAGCAACTCAACAACGTGCCGCGGGATTAAATTCGTACTCGCTGTGTGAACCGTGTGGTTGAGTATCGTCTCACTTTTGACCAACTCGAATAGATAAGACTTTTGAGACGGAATAACGAAAGACCGAAAAGTAGTAAGGACAGAAGTAAAGAAAAGCTTGAGGAAAGAACAACAAAAGAAGAAAGGAAAGAGAAGAGGCGAGTATCGCGTTTAGAGTACAGTTCAAGACGAGGTGAAGAAACGGAGAAAAAGAAAGACAAATGGAAGAAGAGTGAAAAAGAGTAAGACACAGAATTACAGCAGCTAAGAGGGAGACGGGAAGTACGAGGTCTCAGCGACCGAGTACGGAGCGGAGGGGAGAAGAAAACAGGGTGCCAAGGGAGGAGGTTATGCTTAAGGACCAATCAGAATTGAATTCGTCACGAGTACCGCGCCGGCAGAGCACGAAAATTCCTACGCCATGTGAAAGTAGTTCCAAGTTGGAACGACGCCCATGACCGGCTAGGCGCCGCCCCGCGTTACCCCTACCACGCGGCAACGCGCGAGCAGCCGCGGATACAGACACGTCGGCCGTCGTGCGGTAGAGCGAAAGCTGCACGCCACACGCGCGTCACGCAACGTTTCCTCTCCTCTCCTCTTCACGCTCGCCCGCCGTTCGTGGGGATACGTGCACCGCCACCTCTGAGTTTCGTGGCGAACTAACGTTGCCAGATCCATTCAGACGTTCAAACGACCAACATCAACGAGGCGCCTTGCGATTATTGTTATTGGCGAAAGCGGTCTCTGGGATCAAGTCTCGCGCGCAATCCTTTGATCGACATGCAGCGGCAAAAAAAAACAATTGAAGAGAAAACGAATACATGAAGGGCAAACGTTTCGTACACACGGAATTGTGCATTTCATCCGTATGATGTCTTCGATTCAAGTTGAACCGGTCTCTGATGTTTCGAAGCGCGTGCAAGGCGTTCGATGATGACGCGGCGATTGCGAGTACGAAAGACAGGAATGTAATCATAAACGTCTTTTACGAGATACTTCGGCATTTTACGAACCAATTAGACTACGGTCGTGCAATTAAAACGCCGTAAAAGTGGGCCTCGTGAGGGAAGCGGGCAAGCAAGCGCCGTGGCGCGCGCCGCACCAGTATCGGGAATGTTTATTGGGATGTAAATGTCGCTGGATTATCGCCCCCGCGGTTCGCACCTCGTAAATTATTCCGTAACGAGCCGAGTAATGCCCATCATAAGCTGCTCTCAGGGGCCGGACCCGACTATTTGCTCGTTCACTTTCGCCATTATGAATGTTTAGGATATAACCCACCTACTTCGACCGTGCCTCGAAAAAAAGGGGTTTATAAACACACTCCCGTTTCTTGAATGGTACCGTTTACGACCAATTATTCACACATTGTATGCTTTTATCTTGTAACTGAAACACATCATTTGTCACTTTTTATTGCACATTAAGATGATATCACTCTTTGTTCACAATCACTTTCATATTCCGTATTTCCACTTTTTTTTTTGCCTACAATATCCTGGGCATGTTGAAATTGTAATGTGTAAAAACGTAACCGTATGCTATACAATTTTTTTTACATAATTTATCACAACATAAAATGTCAGTTTACAAGCCACAGTCCTTTCATCGTGTGAAGTTGATTAAACTGATATAAAACTTGAATTAATGGCTCTGTATGTTTTATTAATGTAATTATTTATTTAAACAGATACACAACGCAAATAAATACACGGTGAATAGTTTGCTTGCCTGCAATGGTATAAGTATTGTACATATACTAATTATGCATAAAGGATAAGACCTGTGGTTTATCGAGACAATTATCAGATACTCGAGTTGATAGAGCCCTGGTGACGAGACTTGATGCCGTTTTCGCTTTTGTGGGACTCCGACAGGTGGCAGCCCGTTTGCTTGAAAATCATGACGGCAATAAACTCCGGTTTTATGACCACTTGAACAGAATCGTAAAAGTCAGGGCCTTTAAGCTTATAGCGTGGTAGGACGCGTGTCGAATATGGTGGGGGCGTGAAGAGAGCCACCATAACGCAGAAGAAGGGGAAGGGTGTCAGGGGCTGTGTGGGTAGCCAAAATGGGCCTAAATGCCCCTTTTAAAACGCCATTGAAGATAACCAGGCATCCACTAAAAGGGGTTTATTTAATGACCAAGGTTGTTCTCACAGAACCGGACACTCTGTAGCTACTGACGACAGTAACCTGATGGCTTCATGATTATTACATGTTTTTTTCGCTGCACGGTTACACTGTCTCCAGCCACCTGTATTATGAACGTTTATGTATTTGATGTATCTTCCGTAGGTGGCGACAGAAAACAGAAACACATGGTCCAAAGGCTTCTGTATAATGGCACGAGCGAGAGGTAACGTTTTTAAAAAATGCTATAATTTTACTGCTCGTGTTGAAGAACCACCTCGTGTAATGATCTCAGGAGAAGTGGCAGAATATTCGTTAATTATCACAAGATAAGATAATTATAACAATGAACCTCACATATCAGGGAACATCATCAATGGAGCGATTCTTCAGGTAACCCAAAATGGATAATAGCCATTCTCTATATGAATTTCAAACAAAACTGAAGTGGAGAACGGGCATTCGAAGATGCAGGTATTAGAAGGCGTAACTATAGCAACGAGAAGATGGACACGAAAGCAAAGGGGCCGTTGCACCCGACACGGGCAAATCTGCACTCTTGCTAAACCAGCATCCATTCTTCATCGCTCTGGTGGCTTTGGCTCTTCTGGTCTCCTCCAGCATGGTTCAACGCACTGGTTGGACTCTCATTTTGGTTGGTCTTTCTTCCCTCCTCTAACACTACTGTGGCTCCCCCCTCTCGTTTTCTTCTCTTTTGCTTTCTTATTCATCCTCCCTCCGCCACCCTTTCTCACTCCCTCTCTCTCTCTCGCTCTCTCCAGGGAGGCCAGGGATGAATATTCGATCATGAACGAGCGTCAGAATTTCAGATAAGCACGATTCTCGTCGTCGTTATTCGCGCGGATCGGCACTCTTGGGGATCAACCTGTGATATAAAGGCACTCGCGGCGGCAGATGATAATGGCTTACTGGCCGGTGTATTCGAGCATACATACATAGTTTGGTTCACGTAGAAAAAATTATTTAGAATAACACACTTTTGGATAGAACCTCCACAGAGTCACTGAGGTAATTACACAATTGTTTAAACACACTGTCAACAAAACACTGACGAAAACTGTTATATACGTGTATCTTTCATCGAGAAGGTTCTCCAAATAGTACGTTTGATTACATTACAATCCAATTTTTTGTTAACACTCAATACAGATTACCACTAAGGTATTTTAATTTTCAAAATCAATTGTGTATACAGTACGGAACGATAAAATCAGAAACGAACATGGTCTGATAAGAATATACTTTCAAATACACTGTAGAATATGGAAGTACGAAAATGGCCGCCTTGAGTTTAGTAACGTGAAGGAATGTATTGTTGTGCAATATTTCATGTCTCTCTTAACATGTTCCTTATTATCGAAAGAAAATGGAAATTGTGTGTATATTGATCTGCAGTA